ATTAATTGTACATTGCAAAAAAGAGTGAATTTTGTTACATGGACTTTATCTTACACAAAAACGAGAGACGTACCCCTCCCTACTTTGAGGTAGATGAGGGAGGGTCAATCCTGCAAAAGCAATCATATCTCCATCCTCTCAATGACTCCTTTTAATTGGCAAATATTGAGAGAACCTATCGCAGTTTCTGTCTTGCACTGGGTTTTCTAGCATCTATATCTCTAATTCATTGAATCCTAATAATCAGCAATGAGGTGGGCTTGAATATGATAATCCAAGCTGAGGCAAGGGCAGGTCCCGGACTGAGACCTAGTCATCTGACACTGAAGACGACACCCTCGACACCTGTGTACCATTTACCAGACACATGCTTATCGTATTTTCTATGGTTTTCTAAAGACCAGAAGATAGCTAGGATAATTACTCCAGGTTCTTTTCAAATGAACCTAAGAATCCTGATTTGAGGGTTGACTCGTAGTAAGGCCTATGATGCATTCATTCATTGTGGTGCTTCATTTAGTATAAAAAGCTGTGTTTGGCAGAGGATTGTTCCTTGATAGACATGAAGGTCTGGCAACAGTGGGGTTGTGTAAGATGCCTGCCCCTATGGGAGAGGAGTGTGGTCACAGACATGTCTGTACAGAGGCTCCTGGTTGTGAGAGCACATCCAAAGGGTAGGGCTGGGGAAGTCACACAATCTTGCTCTCAAAGACATTTGTCCTTTTCATTCTTTCCCTCTTACTGTCTTTCCATGGATTGGAACAGTCACTGATCCAGGGGAGCCACTTCCTCAAGAAGCAAGTCCTTTAGCCACAAACATTTAAATATTTAATTAAGAAAAAAAAAAAAACTTTTGGGGGGGAGAAGTGTGGGGAGACAAGAGGTCATCTTTAGTGATAAAAACAGGAAGCTTCATTGAACATCCTATTGCATGCTGAGCCGTTTTCAATCATTCAAGTGGTGACAAGCTGGTAGAAAGATTAAAAAAAAAAAACACTATCTCTGCCATGAATCTGCTCGCATCCTGGGTAATGGTTATGGGGCTGGGAGGAGAAAATCTCAGGTACTCCTCGTTGTTTAAATAAGGAATGTGCCCCAACGAGCTGAACTACCATGCTAAGTATGGGTTTCTGTGAGGTCACACAAGCACTTGGAAGTCCATTTTGGTGGTGACTTTATGGGTAAAGTGTTTTTAAATTTTCATTTTGAAGGGCACTTGAGAAATATGAAATAAGCACAAATGAAGATGTTGTGCTTCAGGGAAAGTGCCTGTAACAGATGGCAAAATTGGAAAAGTGCGTGGGACCCAGTTTATGGAGGGCCTTGGATGCCAAGCTTGAAGAGTATTCAAACAGGAGCAAATTTTGAAGCAGAGGATATTTAAATCAGCAAAATTGTTTTAGCAAAATGAAAAAGATTGGAAGAGGAGGTTACAGTCAGTGTGGTTATTTGGGAAGCTACTGAAAGCAACCAGGTGATTCAATGGACCAGAACCTGAAAGGAAGTATGATGAACTGGGGAGACTGGAGTGGAAAAGAATTGATAAAAGCTGTGACAGCTGAGAGATGATGGATTTCAATGACTGGGTTGAAAGTGATCCTTTTAAGGAAGAAACATTAACAGTAGGTAGAGATGCAAGATGAAGTTCTGGTATTAACTTTGAGGTACCAGAAAAATTATCCTGGGGATAGAGTCTGAGAAATATAAATTTAGACAAGAATCTTCAGGAGTGGTTGAAGTTGACTAGAAGAGAACTGGACAAGAACTTTAAGTAGAATTATACTACCCATCCAAGATCTGGATGATAAACATCCAACTGAAAAGGACCAGAGTAGCAGCGAAATTAATTTCAAGGTGTTGGCAAGGTTAAACGGTTCATACTGGCAGTTGAAGAGGTTGTTTTGTTCAGGAAAACATTTTCAGTGGCACAGAAATGGATTAGCAGCATTTCTCAGTGAGACATTTTCATCAAAATCTTGCAGTGTTTAACAAATGCCAACCTACTGGATTTGAACAGGGAAGGGGGAAAAGCCTTGGGATTTTCAAGTTGTTAACAGTCTTCCCCAGGAAATTCTTGATAGACTAGTAACAGAGAAGACAAGAGGGAGCAAACAGAAGTTTGTTCTTTAATTCTTTGGTTAAAAAAAAAAAATTATATGTATACATATGAGAGAGAGAGAAGGAGATCACGACCACAAATAAAGTAGCCTTAGGGAAACAATTCTTCTTGAGAGACTGTTATGAAATTCTTGAGGAAAAAAACCAAAATGGGGACTGAAATCCCAGCCATTGTGTTCTTAGGGGAACAGGGAGTGGTGTTACTAAGTCACAATGAATGAGTATCAGCAAGTTCAGTTTGAAGCCTCATTTTTAAGGTTTTGTTTGTTTTTTGGATATTTCTCTCCCTACACAAGTATGCATCCCAAAATAAGCTAGGGAAGTTGTTGTATTTTATCACACAATTAACCACAACTTGAAACAGCAGTATAGGTTGAGGAAATCCAACTCATTTACTGAAGCTGCCAGGCTCCAGAAAAGTTTGATAGCAGGTTGTATTTTTATGTTGCATGTTTGAAATTTTCTAAAATAATAAAACTGTAAGATAAAGTTTCTACTTCATTTGGAAAGCTAATTATTTTAGTTTATGGTTCATTTTATCCCCACAGCTTCCTGAAGACTGTTGGCTGAGTCACAGATAACCAAAATATGTAAGTGTTCAGGCAAAAAAGTACTTTCATAAGAAATTTGGGTAGAAGAATTAGTCATTATAGTCAAAATTTCTGTTTTCCTCTTCCTTGAGATACTGTTCAATGGCATTCTACTAAACAGAAGTGAACAGGAGGCAATGGTAAGAAAAGTGGTAACATGCCCAGGATAATTACTAAGCAAGTGAGATCTGCTAGTATGGATAACCAATGACTTTTTCTCTTAAAATATTTTTAAGGGTAGGTTTATTTTGAACTGTTTGTTAAAAGTCTATTTGATGTGAATTCTGTATCTGATAACCTATACTCAATTACCATTCACAAACTTCATACAGATATGTTAATACAATTATAGAACTTCAATACTGTGATAATAGAACTTGAGAACTGAAGAACACACATTTCTTCATGAATTTATTATATAAAATGCCCCCAGAGTATTTGATTTCTCTCCTCCTTTCATTATACACAAGCACATGGATGAGACGCTCTTTAAGATGACTATAGTATCATGAGAGTCCCTTGCATCAAGGTAGTGTACATACCTTAACAGTGTTCTAAAGGCTGGCCCAGAAAACAACAACAAAAAAAGTTACCTTATCACAAGATGAAAGCACTGTTTTCTTTTTCCTCTAAATTATGATGAAAAATGTCACTGTTTTATTTAGCATTATGGTACACAACAGATCTCTCTCAATTACTAAAATAATTAAAATAATCCTGAAAGATATCCTTCCTCCCCTCCCGTGATTTGAAAAGCTGTATTTTTCCTGCGAATTTCAAACAAATCATCAGGTTGATCTAATCTGTCTGTTAAAACAATCATCAAAGCACAAGCTCAGCACATTAGCTGTATATAGCTTGTAGTAAAAGGATACATCCATCTCTCCTTAGTTAAAAATACATAATCCTTTTATTTATATTGTAATAAAAGAAATTAACATCACAGACACAGAAGACTAGAAAGGGGAAACTACTTACTTCTGAACGTCCAGTAATTTAAACCTATTTGTACTTTTCCACATGGAAGTAATATTTAACACTTACTTTTTGAAGTATAACTTAATCTTTGGGGATATACAATGTAAATAGGACTTAAGAGTAATAGTTCCACTCATTCCAGGTCTGCTTAACATATGATTAGGTAAAACAAGGCACAATAGCCATCCTTTCTATTATGTTGCAACACTGATCATGTGCCTTGATAAAATGGCTGATAAGACAAGATGATGGCAACATGAAGGGAAGACTTTGGATTGTCTATTTAAAATGCAGGTAATAAGTAATTAATAAAAAATTTAAGTGCACTTTCACATGCTTTGCGTTTATAATAAACAACAAACTTCCTAGCTTTCTTGCAACAGGCTTGACTACCATTTCTTTTGGCCAAATGCACTTTTCCCCAGTAACTTAAAACAACAACAATAACAATAACAATAACAACAACAACAACAACAACAACAACAACAAGATAATCCCTGTCCTTTCATATACTAAGAAAGAGGATTGGCTACTGAAACAGTTCATTGCAAGACACATGAAGACGACATACTGTGGCATGAGTTGTTTTTAATTTGTTGTGCTGTTACTAAAGTAAAGTTCTGAGGGCTGCAGTTAAAACATTCCAAGTTCTCCCTTCCATCTTTATTGATTTCAAGACTTTGCACAGAAAACTCTTTGGGGACTAGAACAGCAGCAATTGCATCACACTGTTTTCAAGACTTCAAGTTTCAAAGCAAATTGTTTAAAAAAAAAAAAAAAAAAAAAAAAAAACAACAACACAGTTCCTGATTTGAGTTAGATACAGGGACAAAAATAGCACATAGTTGAAGGTTACACAGTCTACAAATGGTGGCAATATTTTCCTTGGGAGAGTAGTTTTGTTGGTATATATTTTTTAAATACTCAAAAAGGCTCAACCTCAAGCAGTAATAAACACAAGCAAAAGTGATTTAACCCTTAAAATAAATATTCAGAAAAACCTCTCTGTACATACAAGTGAAAGAATAAGTAACACTTTCACGCAAAAAAAAAAAAAAATAATAATAATAATAATAAAGGATTTGTTCATATAAGTAGCTGAAATCTGCTGTTCCAGCCCACATATCCCCAATAAAGAAGGGAGGCACAGACATAAGGTGACTACTGTGGTTCACTATCTTACAGCCTTTTTGTACTGGGACATTATCACCACCAAATTCATCCCTCTTGTTATGATTATTAAAATTTAAAATTTTTCTTTTCCTTTTTTTTCCATTCTTCTTCTTCTTTTTTTTTTTTTAATTAATTAATTTATTTTTTTTTACAGCATGCCAAATCCTTTGGCATAAGTGATGGCCTTCAGCAATCTTTCTTTAAGTTTTTCCTTGCTTGAATATTCCGGCAGTAAAAGGACATTAAAGCAAGTATGAGATGTAGGTAACCTAAACAGAGAGAATAGGGGAAAATAGGAAAATAAATCATGGAGAATATGCTCAGCAGTAAAAAAAACCCCTACTTTTAAATGGTATGTATAGTTGAGATGGTTTGCAATGCAGGGTACACATTAATGCAACTCATAAACTTTTTGTTTTTCCTATGCAACTACCAAATATCAGTTTGTTTTTATCTTATTATTCAATCCTAATGATGATGATGATGACTGATAACATATTGTATCCACTGAGTCATTATGACATACCACATATTATTTAACTGTTAGATCTCATTTAACTTTATCTTCTCAAAATAAAACTATCATTATCCCCACTACAGAGCTGACATCATTGAGAAGTTAATTTACTCTAGGATGAAGATAATACTCAAACCTGGCTTTAAAGATTTCAAAGTCTATGTTCTTTAATGCCAGTTAGAAATATTCTTGGCAATATGAGCATATAAGTGACTTAATAACAAATATACGTAAAGTTACATTAAAGCTATTATGCATCAAATAATGTGGAATACTAATAGAAATGTTTCTATATATTTAAACCCTTAAATATGCTACTGTTCATGTAAGATCCTTACTCACAAAAACATTAACTTATACAATGAAGAAAGAACAAGAAGATTATGAAACTTGATTCAAATGTTAAGATTAAGAAATCTAGTGCTGAACAATTTTGAGACTCAATTTAACCATTCTTAAATGGATTACATAATACCTTTCAATTTAAAAAATTCTGAAAAACTGAATGAATCATATCACTTTGCAAAATTCAAAATCAAGTGAGCCCTTTAATAGCTTTGAACTAGGCCAGTGTTTTAAAAATTTCTTCAAACAAAAGCAGCAAAATATTCTCTGAATTACCAGTTCATGTGATTTGGAGAGTTCCACATAAAACTTTTAAAAGTGCTCAGAAGCTCCCGGACAGTTCCCATGCGTGTGACATGGAATGTACGGTTGTCGGTATACAGTCACAATTTAATAATTACCTTTCTGTGTCTGGGCCATTTTTGGCTATAATCATCTTTAATTTTCCTAGTCCACCCACAGGTGCTCTGTCTGTACCTGTTGTAAACTGCAAGAAAAGTCTTTTCTGCTCATCTGTAAATGAATGAACGATTTCCCAGAACTCCCTAATGAGAAAAGATAGAATACTGATTTTAGTTTGGCATTCATTTATAACTAGTACTAATGTAAGTTTATGACTTATTAAAACTGTATTATGGAGATAACCTAGAAATTAGTATCAGAAACCCTAAACATTCATTCCTGGTGATCAAGGATCTACAAATTACTGATGCAAATTTATCTTATGGAAACACTTAAAGGCATAGCTCATGGCTACATTATCTAGAACAGTAATAACTGGTAAACTGAAGTGTCCTATAACAGGAAATAATTATGTAAACTATGGTATAATCATACAATATAATCAGGAATAAAAGACAAAACCCAACTCAAATCCTGTAAATTGAAAATACGAGATTGGGGGGAGGGAAGTGATATCAATTAAGGACAAAATAAAAACACATACACATACACACAGACACACGTGTAGTAGTAGTAATACAAAGGCACAATTTTTTATATAAACCAGAACACTTGATTTTGTAGGCTGTGGAAGTAGGGATGGGGATAATTCTGGTATTTCTGCTATATGCAATGATTTAGTCCTTGACATTCCTAAAATCTACGTGATAAAAGTCATGTTGTTATAATGATGCTTGTTTATATAGTCACTCTAAAAACAAAATGCAGTTCATTAAGAGCAATCTTGGCATACGTGTATGAATAATGAGGTATCCATAAATTTAACAATATGCACTAATTCTCAGCTCAAAAAATTTCAAGAAAAGAATACATTTTAACATTTATTTGAAAAGCTCTTTCCAGAATCTTGGCAGAGAATGTCACACTTCCTACATGTGTAATTATAATTCTAGTTTTTGATATCCTTGTATTTCAGTATACAATTTCTATTATTAAAATGTGGGCATTTTTATTGGTATAATGCCAATACTTCTGACAGGGTTAGCAGCTTAATAGACTTCTTGGTTCTCCTTCAATGTCCTCCCACTTCTCTACTCTGATATTCTAACACCCTCCTCAGTTCCTGCAAACCTTCCATTCACCTGGAGAACACAATAAAGAACTACATCATTAACAACAGGAAATTAGACATGGAACTTGCAGGTGCATCTTTCAGGAAGAATTAAAATCATTCCACAGTCTAGATCATTCCTATTGGGTGGTTGACAAGAAGAAAGTCTCCTATGGCCCAGAGCTCTCTGTCAGGGCAGAACAGCTCCCCTGCAAATGGGTAGTAATCAAGTCTTCTTATCAGAGCACTGTAGGAGTGCTCTGAAGCCTAACTGAACCACCCACACCTGAAAAGGCAGATAGAAGGGTACCCTGACCAGTCTGTCTACAATATTTATTTATTTGGTTCTCTCTAGAATTTAAAATATTGGGGTTACTACCAGTTTAGACAATGAAAACACTTACTGAAAAATTCTTCTCTTCCTATAAGTGCTATGTTCTATATTAAAATTCTGAATTAGGAATGCAACTATTTAGAAAACTGAAAATGAAGAAAAAAACTTCTGCATTTCTCCCTAAGTGATAGGTTCATGGATCACATCCCATTCACATCTCCTAAAACCTATGCAGATCAAAAAAGGAAATCTGATAAAAACACCCATAACCTAAGTTTAGATTAAAACTAAGAAAACGGAAGAGCAAACTCCGAAGTGACATGGAAGTTGGAAGTATGAACACCTGAGCCCAAACTATCACAGCCCTACAAGAGCAATACAGAAGACAGGGGTGTGCAGAATAGTATGGGTTAGACTTCACCCTGGGCAAACCCTCACCTCAAGAGTAAACTGCTAAAGAAAGGTAAGAGCAATGGGGTGGCTAAAAGGGCGGGCCCCGGAAAAGTACCAGGGTAGAAATGACAGGTAGAATCAAAACCACAGTGAGAGATACCACCTCACACCAGTCAGAATGGCTAAAATTAACAAGTCAGGAAACGACAGATGTTGGCAAGGAAGCGGAGAAAGGGGAACCCTCCTATACTGTTGGTGGGAATGCAAACTGGTGCAGCCAATATGGAGAACACTATGGAGGTTCCTCAATAAGTTGAAAATAGAGCTACCCTACAACTCTGCAATTGCACGACTGGGTATTTACCCTGAAGATACAAATGCACTGATCTGAAGGGGCACGTGTACCCGAATGTTTATAGCAGCAATGTCCACAATAGCCAAACTATGGAAATAAACTAGATGTCCATCAACAGATGAATGGATAAAGAAGAAGTGGTGTGTATAAATACATATACAATGGAATACTATACAGTCATTAAAAAAAAAACCCCGAATCCCTGCCATTTGCAACGACGAGGATGGAGTTAGAGGGTATTATGCTAAGCGAAATAAGTCAATCAGAGAAAGACAATTATCATATGATCTCTCTGATATGAGGAATCTGAGAGGCAGGGTGGGGGGTTGTGGTGGGTAGGGAGGGAAAAAAATGAAACAAGATGGGACTGGGGAGGGAGATAAACCATAACAGACTCTTAATCTCAGGAAACAAACTGAGGGTTGCTAGGGGGTGAGGGACAGGGTGGCTGGGTTATGGACATTGGGGAGGGTATGTGCTATGGTGAGTGCTATGAATTGTGTTAAGACTGATGATTCACAGACCTGTACCCCTGAAGCAAATAATACATTATATATTAATTAAAAAAAAAAAAATGACAGATAGGCATGATGCCTGGAAGTGATGGGGAGTACCCTGGGAGGCAGAGGTGTCTCCTGAAAGTAGCTTCTGGCTATAATGTAATGGAAGCAGCTAATGAAAGATTCAGGCCTTAAACAAGATGGAGTTGAAGAATCAGAAGGTGCTAGGCCACATAGCCATATATTAAAGAAACTGCTGTTACCATAATAACAAAAGAGGGACCCATTCAATCAAGAGACCACTAATGCCACCCAAACTTCTCCCCACTGTACCATGAGATCTACTAATAGCAGGTCCAGGAAAACCTCAACCAATAGAAACATAAATGGGAGAAACAGAATTCCAAAATCCAAATAATTATGAAACAAGTTCAGCAAATAAATAAGCTAAATTGTCTAGCAGAAAAAAGTATATTTGAAAAATTCAGTCATGAAAAATGGAAAATCCCATATTCCAACATGAAGAGAAAATGCAACAGCAGATCAAAAAGAACACCATTAATCAGAAATACAAAACTCAGAAATGAACAAATCTGAAACAGAAATGACAATACTCGAATATACTCAAGAAATATGCAAAATAAATTCGGAAACAGAAGGTTAACTTATATAGTAACCAAAGGAATGACCAAAATTTCTAGTAGGGACATAGAGAACACAAAAGAACAAGAAAAAATGTATATATCTGGAACGCATATGTATGGAATAATCCAGGTATGAGATGATTCACTGTGACATTACTTCTCATAGCAAAATGCTGGAAATAAACACTATGTCCAGGAATATTAATAATCTATACTGCTTTCACACAGTAACAGTAGTCAGCCATACAAAAGAACATGGACGATATCTCTACCTTGACATGGGGCAATTTCCAGGATACAATGAAAATTCCTCCTCCGTCCCCTAGAAAAAGTCTGCATGCACTAACGTTTAATAACAAAGGTCACAACTTGTGCCCTAAACGGACTTTTAAAGACGCCATTCCCCAAGAATTTCTTCTAAAAATGGCTTATTTCAGGCCTAGAGTTAAAAATGCTCCAGGTGAGCTAAAAATTTCAAAATGTAAAATGAAGTGATGTTAGAAGCATACCAAGACTAAACAATATGAACATCACTAAGAATAATGACTGTGAAACACGCTCAATATATAAAAATCTATGAGTTCAAAACAATATCCAGAAAGAGGCAAAAAACAAAACAAAAAACAAAACCGACTAAAATCCAAACTCAACTGTTACTACTCAAATTATTACAGTAACTCCTTACTCTAAAATATTTAATTACATTCTATTGTGCCTTTTCAGTAAAACTGTTTTACACAGTAATCAAGTAACAACCACCAATGAGGAAAAAGAACACCAGGTATATATGTAGAATTAACAGAAGAAATCTTTTTTTTCCTTATCACCATTTTGCACGCCCCAGGGAAACAATGGATTCAGATAAGGATACTAATAGATATGAAAATCAGAAGAAATACAGATTAAGAGGTTTGGGAAAGATGATGGTAGCAGTGACAGTTATTTTGTTTTTGCTTTTCTTTTCAATCTTCCTACTCTCTCCCGTAAAACCAGAGCTAACTGGATGGGAAAATGGAAGACCTATAGATAACACCTTCAAAACTAGACGACAAGATATCCCCCCACAAATCCTTCCATGTAAATGAATAAAACACACCACTGACAGCTGGAATACCTAGTTGGTATCCATGTCAGTGGGTGAGGATGCAAAAGGAAGGCAAATGGGTTTCTTACAGCCCTGGGAGCAAGGGAACCTCAAAACCACCAATCCACCGGAAATCACAGGACAATTTGAGAAGACAACTAAAAGAGAGTTACACAATTTGTAGGCAAATGCAGGAGATCATGATACAGTATACAGCAGAAGCTCTGGGCCCTTAAAGCCCTTGAACACCAAAATTCCTTTCTGAAACTGAGGAGAAACTGCTGGAAATAAGGTCCAAATTCACCAAATCAAGAATAAAAAGGCCAAGAAAAACTCAAATAAATGTACTTTTCTTTTTTCTTAAATCATTTTGCAAAAATAAAATGCATAGAGCTGAAGCATGAAAAATCTGCCCTGGCCTATCTCTCCCTCTTCCAAATATGAGAAAACTCATCTCACTTAAAAAGCACACCAGAAAAGATCACAAACACTAAGAGTTACTAGAGAGGAATAATATGTGTATGTGCGCATAGGAATGATATCTCTATAGAGAATAAGATTACACTGAGAAGATCTGCCAATAAAACACATGAAAATTGTAAACAAATTTCAAATGAAGCTAAATAGTTTTAAATAACAGTAGAGGCTATGAAAGGACAACTAACTTAGAAAAAAACTTTCGGACAAAATTTCAGAAGAATTTCAGAATTAATGAAAAAAGA